CCAATGTCTTAAGGGAACCGAGATAAAGGGCTCTGCAACATCAAAAATATCTGAATGCCGTCCTGTAGCCGCGACCCGGGACATCACAGATTGGTACAAGGTCTCAAGGCGACGGCAGAACTGGGTCGGGGTCAGTGTGTCAGGTCAGTATGCAACCTTCAACCGATGGTTACGGTCACGCATGTAGAGGTAATCGCGTAGACGAGAATCTCTAGATACGTGGCTAGAGAAGTGCAAGTATCAAAAACTAAAGTGTGGTAAACGCTGCGTGAAGAGGGGCTATCCGTTTCACGTCCAACGTGTTTTAGCCCTTCAACCTGACGATTTTCCAGCAAGAGTGCGGTTTTGTGAGTGGTTGTTGCATCAACATGACAATAATCCGGACTTTTTGAAGTGCATATTGGTGACAGACGAATCTACGTTCACGCGAAATGGGGTGAATAACTTTCGCAACACTCGTGTTTGGTCAGTAGAAAATCCGCACGCAATTACGCAACATTTTGCCTTCCTTGTTAGAAGATGTGCCATTAAGTGTAAGACAATCAATGTGGTTTCTGCGTCTGCTCGGTAGCGCTTCAGCTGATTTCATTTTCTGTGGGAGCGGTATGATTTCGGGCAGAGACGTACTTAGCCCTTCTCGTCAACTGGAGAGTGAGTACTTTTTCCTTTATTTTTTTTTTACTTGGTCGCCCTCGTTTCACTACACATTACCTTTGTTATTTCAAGGGTAGTTGTTTCTGTAAAGGAAAACCCCAACTTTGCGGACACCCTGTATATATATATATATATATATATATATATCAATGAAATCAATCATTTGATATGACAAATGCGGTTCATATATCTTCGATGACCTCCCTCGTCATTTAAAATCAGGTGGACGTGTTCCTCCATTTATGATTTAATAATTTGCCTGTTTTTTAAATGACATTGACATAAGACCTGTCACCCGCTAGTACCTCACAGACGTTAAGCAGGTACCCGTCCCACCTGATTTTTTGACATTCGAACGACGCCACATCCGTCTTCCCCTATTCCCGTTCTTCGCGAAAATTTGAGTATCGGTTCCCGGTAGTGCACTGTGCTACACCGTGGACTCGCGAAAAAATCCTTACTGTTAAAAGGTAATTGTGTATTTACAAAGTTCAGTTACCATTTTTATTTAATTTACTAAATTGTTGATTGAGTGGAGACGCGTTCATAGATCGGTCATTGGGACTTTTTTACCACATCACAATCAGACCAACCAAGTGGCGAAATAATTTTGAAACGACGAACTTTAAGTACCTAATATTGATTCTAAATGTATTTAAAATTACTATTATAACGTCAACCTGCCTACAAAAATATAAATCTCCCGGTGGCCAATATACTGTTGAATACATTAAGTTATTAAGATAAAATAATGGGCATGAAAGATGACTTCCATCTTTTAACATTGGAGAAATTTTGGATCAAAAGATTGCCTGTTAATTCGACACTTGCTTCTCTTGCTTTACGAATACTAGTTCCTTTTTCTTCAACTTACTTATGTGAGACAGGCTTTTCTGCTCTAGTTTTAATTAAAACTAAACAGCGAAATCGTCTTGATGTCGATAGCGGCCTGATGATAGCTCTGTCAAAAACCGGACTTAGAATCAACCAACTGGTACAGAACATGCCATCTCAAGTGTCTCATCAGTACCTACTCTTATTTTATTCAAGTTTTTCGAGAAAAAACATTTATTAGTTTATTTATAGTTTTAAAGTTCCTTCATTAGAATTAAAATAAAAGTATTTGTACCTATATAATGTGCGTTTTTTGTATGTATTGAAGGGGGCATGAAAATATAATTTATAGTCCGGGGAGCCTCAACAAAAAAAAGGTAGGGAAACCCTGGTCTAGACCCAGGTCCACATGGGCAAGCACCAAATACGAATATGTCCACTTCAAAAATCTTCGCGGTGATAAAACTTTCGTTTCCTAGGACCTGCGGGCCTGCTTTTGCAAAATTGCAGTCCATAGCGACAGAATGCGAAATAGCACAATCGGCAAACCACTTATTTTATTCATAGCTTAAAAAACTGAAGATACTATTTTCTTATTAAATTTCATCAGCTTCCATTCTAGTGACACAGATATCAAATATTTCGCATATTATAAGATAATATAAGATAAATGTTTACATGCAACTGATACTATTTTTAGAACGTCTATTTATTCAGCTGCGCTGATGATTATTTTTTGTTCCTGGTACTAGTAACTGTTATTGATTCTTGTGCCCACAAAACCCCTGAGGATTGTGCATATAAAAGGCTTGTTTTGATTACAATCCATGATACTCCGTACCTGAAAGCCCGGGCTGTGACGGCGCTGTACTGCGGGCTGTGGAACATGGTTAATAAAGAATTCTCACATAATGCCACTCCGTGCGATAACTCCCTATTAACACCCAGCGCCTACACAGGCCGTGCGGATTATATTATAAAAGAAGAAAAATAATCTCTTAACACCTACATATATGTACAATAACAATCTCCCTGACCTAACATCAAGTATGTGTATCACAGGGTCCAATCAAACCTAAGGCGGCGATTAGACAATGTATTCGTAGACGTTAACCAGTAGCTATTAAAAAACTGACACTTTTGTTAGTAGACCGCTTTTTACGTCATCTAAATTAGAAGAAAGTTAGTTTTACTAAAAACGGTCATGGTGGACCAAGAAGAAATGAAAAAGCCTACTGATGATGCTACTATCGTACTAGGTATACTGAACTTAACATAAGTGGTTTACGATTAAATAACCAGACTCAATTCAGAAACCTAAGAAACGGATTGTTATCCATCTATATTTCTAAACATGGTCGTCTCAGCCCTTACTTAAAGCAGAGTTACATAGATAGTAAATATACTAAGTGACATATAAATCCGAACACCCAGTTTAAATGGTTTTATTTTAAAAAAATTTTGTATAAGTACTTAATGAAGCATAATAAGTAAACGATAAAAATTTCAAAATGATTGCACTGCTTTAAAGCCCTTTGACCTTTAATAATGTGTGGATGCACCCTGATGTGCTACGCATTCTCCAACGCGCCCAGGCATGCTTCTGATCATGTGGTCAATGTCCTCCTGTGGTATCTCATTCCAGGCAACCACCAACTCCTCTCGAAGTGCTTGTAGAGTCTGAGGAGGACGTTGCAAATTGAACAATCTCCTACCCATCATATCCTACACGTGCTCAATTGGGGATAAGTCGGGAGATCTTGGTGGCCATGGTAACAATGTGACATCATTATGTTGAAAGAAGTCTACTGTGACTCTTGCAGCATGTGGTCGGGCATTATCTTGTTGGAAAGTTGGATCTGCCAGGGTGTCAAGATAGGGTAAAAGATGGGGTTCTAGAACTTCGTGGATATAACGCTGCGCGTTCATGTTACCTCTGATGAGGATTAAAGGTGACCTGGAACCATAAGCTATAGCACCCCAAACCATAACTCCAACAGTGTGATGAACATGTCTTTCAACAAAAAACTGTGGATTCCTCCTTTCACCACGTCGCCTTCTAACCCTGGCACGACCATCGTGCATGCCTAAACAAAATCGAGACTCGTCACTAAAGACAATACTGTTCCATTCCTGATCCCAGAGTGACCGTTGTCTGCACCACTCAAGGCGACTACGTCGGTGTTCTCGAGTTAAAGGGAGGACCCAGTGTGGCCGGTATGAAAACAAGCCAAAACTTCTCATTTGTCGGTAAACACTTCGCATGCCAATAGGTCTTCCGTGTTCTGCAAACCATTCATTTGCAATGGACCTGGTAGTGGAGAAGCGGTCCCTTAAGGCCAATAACCTTAGGCGGCGATCTTCACGGTCTGTTGTTCTACGGCGGCGTCCAGTGCCCCTTGCTCTTTGCGTACGGCCTTCTCGAAGCCATGCCTGACAACACCTAACCACAGTGTCTACACTTCTTTGCACTCTAACTGCAATTGCCCGAAAAGAAAGTCCAGCTTCCCGAAGTCCCACTATCCGGCCCCTATCAAACTCACTAAGTTGACGAAATCGTACAGGTCTCCGTACTCTAGGCATCGTAACCGATCGTAAAGGATGTCAAGAACCAAAATCCGCCAACGTTGATTCTTTACTGCGGCTGAAATATTCATTTTTAGAGCGTTAGTGAATTAAAAAGAAAGCAGTATAAAAACCGGAATGTCCAACTGATAAGGCTGAAAATTTTTTCACTTGTTATTTACAGTAAGATAAATACATTCACCAACTTTTATTAAAATAAAACCATTTAAACTGGGTGTTCGGATTTATATGTCACTTAGTATACTTCATATAGCTATAAAAACCTAGATCTGGTTCCTTAACCTGCTTAACAGCCTCGCCAGATTCCATTAACAGCTGTGTTATGTATCACCTACCCTCTGGGTTTTGTGGTTAAGGTCGAACCTTTCGGTCTAATAACTCTGACGAGTTGAGGTTATATTGCTTTCAATCAGTTCCCGAATTATAGTTTTGTATGGCATGACGGAGAACGTTTTGTAAAATTGGAAACGGGTGAGAAAAAACCACCTTGTTAACGCCTTAGAGGTTTAGCCGCATAACGCCAGGATGTCCAAATTATACGTATACAATTTATATAAATCTTGTAACGAAATATGATACATTTCCAATTTGAAAATGTTCGAACTCGCCTAAAATGTTTCAACTATACACATTAAAGTACCCAGAATGTATAAGAATGTCGCAAAAACGATATTATTCTAAGGTTATATAAATAAATTGTTTCGACCACTAATCACGGTGAATGTACATTAAAACACTGAGCTACCTGGAAGTTATGCATATAGTATTAATTGTTGAGTAACAAGGAGGAATGCAGAACACAAGTTTTATCCAAAAAATTCTTATGAATAAGTTTTGACCTAACTACTCAGGCCCTCAACAGCATTTCGTCCAATGCGATTTAGTTCGGGAGAAATTAATTAATGAAGATTGAGTGGATATGAGAGGGCTTAGTAGCCGAGTGGATAGCGCGTCGAGCTCTTAATCAGTGACTCGAAGAATTGCGGGTTCGAATCTCCGTCTCCGAAGTTAATTTCGAGCCATCTTTGTTGTGTTGATTCAATAATCAATTACCGGTTGATTGCATGCGGAGTTATACTGGGTGTTTCAGTTTATTGTTGCATAACTTTAAGATTCGATACAACTTTTAAAATTAATGCATAAAGTCTATATAAATAGACCAGTCGCCTGGCCTCCACGATCCCCTGACCTAAATCCATTAGATTTCTTTGTGTGGGGTTTCTAAAAGAAAAAGTGTACCAGACTCCCGTAACCACAAGAGATATGCTAATAGACAGAATCAGGAATGCATGTGATGAAATAAGGCCTTATTTGAATAATGCTATACCACGTTCGATCATTCGTAGATGTGAATTGTGTATTGAACAATTGGGTTTACATTTCGAGCAACTACTTTAGATTTTTTATGTTTGTCCTAACTATCCAATAGCATTTTAGTTGTAAATAATTAATTTAATTTGTTAAAAATAATATTGGAAAATTAAACAAATTAATATTCTGTTTTTTTGTGTTTATTTGGAGTTAGGAATTATTGCTGTGTTTAAAAACACAATCTAAACGATCATCTTAATTATTTGTAATGCCCAAATCGAAAATGTAAAAAAAAATATTATTTTCCCATAAATAATTAAAAATGCATCGAACCTTGAAAATCGAAATATCTCAAAAACGGCTAACTATAACGAAAACTCACAGGAGAGCTTTTTTATGTTGAAAAGTGCGAATAATCATTTTTTTTATTCAAAAAGCAAAAAATTGCACTAAGAAAAAATTTGCGATCATTTTAATACACTACAGGTACAGTAGAGAACGCCCTCCAGCGGCTACAGTAAAACTATGCCCATGGTTCGTTTTGTCGTACCAAAAAACCCTTGTATACCAATTTTCACTGTTATACATCAAATATTGTTCGAAATATTTAAAAAAAACTATTTTAGAAAGTAAATTTAAACACCCTGTATTTCGGAAGCTACGCATTTTTCGACCCATGTTTATATAGACTTTATGCATTAATTTTAAAAGTTCTATCGAATCTTACAGTTATGCAACAATAAACTGAAACACCCTGTATAGTGATAGTACAACAGGGTCTGCAAAAAGGAACAAAGGTGTAATTGCTACGTTTCCGCTTCTTACCACTCCTACTACTACAACTACAACTGCTTGCGAATGCGAGCTGAATTAGTTTAAAGGTACTGTTTGTTTTTTTTATGTCTCGATGTGACATATCCACTGTGTTTTAATGAGATCTAGGTTCATTAAGGCTGCATATTTATTCTCATATATTTTATTGTTATAAGCTTCATAATCTTCATGAAATATTTAAGCATTCACAATCTTTATGGTCAATGTACCCCTCTCCCACGAACGACTTAAAAGCAAGGTACAATTTTTTTGTTAGATGGCAGGAGAGGTGTGAGTATGAACCTTAGACAACATTTTTGGAGTTTCTGAATTAGTCCACAATCCATTTGCGTTAGACAGGGTCCATACACGACATCGAAGTAATTAATTAGATATACTAAGTGACATATAAATCCGAACACCCAGTTTAAATGGTTTTATTTTAATAAAATTTTGTACAAGTACTTAATGAAGCATAATAAGTAAATGATAAAAATTTCAAAATGATTGCACTGCTTTAAAGCCCTTTGACCTTTAATAATGTGTGGATGCACCCTGATGTGCTACGCATTCTCCAACGCGCCTAGGCATGCTTCTGATCATGTGGTCAATGTCCTCCTGTGGTATCTCATTCCAGGCAACCACCAACTCCTCTCGAAGTGCTTCTAGAGTCTGAGGAGGACGTTGCAAATTGAACAATCTCCTACCCATCATATCCTACACGTGCTCAATTGGGGATAAGTCGGGAGGTCTTGGTGGCCATGGTAAGAATGTGACATCATTATGTTGAAAAAAGTCTATTGTGACTCTTGCAACATGTGGTCGGGCATTATCTTGTTGGAAAGTTGGATCTGCCAGGGTGTCAAGATAGGGTAAAAGATGGGGTTCTAGAACTTCGAGGATATAACGCTGCGCGTTCATGTTACCTCTGATGAAGATTAAAGGTGACCTGGAACCATAAGCTATAGCACCCCAAACCATAACTCCAACAGTGTGATGAACATGTCTTTCAACAAAAAACTGTGGATTCCTCCTTTCACCACGTCGCCTTCTAACCCTGGCACGGCCATCGTGCATGCCTAAACAAAATCGAGACTCGTCACTAAAGACAATACTGTTCCATTCCTGATCCCAGAGTGACCGTTGTCTGCACCACTCAAGGCGATTACGTCGGTGATCTCGAGTTAAAGGGAGGACCCAGTGTGGCCGGTATGAAAACAAGGCAAAACTTCTCATTCGTCGGTAAACACTTCGCATGCCAATAGGTCTTCCGTGTTCTGCAAACCATTCATTTGCAATGGACCTGGTAGTGGAGAAACGGTCCCTTAAGGCCAATGATCTTAGGCGGCGATCTTCACGGTCTGTTGTTCTACGGCGGCGTCCAGTGCCCCGTTGCTCTTTGAGTACGGCCTTCTCGAAGCCATGCCTGACAACACCTAACCACAGTGTCTACACTTCTTTGCACTCTAACTGCAATTGCCGGAAAAGAAAGTCCAGCTTCCCGAAGTCCCACTATACGGCCCCTATCAAACTCACTAAGTTGACGAAATCGTACAGGTCTCCGTACTCTAGGCATCGTAACCGATCGTAAAGGATGTCAAGAACCAAAATCCGCCAACGTTGATTCTTTACTGCGGATGGAATATTCATTTTTAGAGCGTTAGTGAATTAAAAAAAAAGCAGTATAAAAACCGGAATGTCCAACTGATAAGGCTGAAAATTTGTTCACTTGTTATTTACAGTAAGATAAATACATTCACCAACTTTTATCAAAATAAAACCATTTAAACTGGGTGTTCGGATTTATATGTCACTTAGTATACAAAACTAGTAGATCAGTGCGAACAATCTCTAAACTAATTGGCAGAATACGGCGGTGTGGGAACAAAAACTTCAACCGAACAACCTTTGGTTGCATTTTTTACGTGATTAGATAACGATAACGAATTAATATGTTTGTTTCCGTCTCTGTAACCGTGACCAGACTCAGTCAGTGCTGTTTCGTCTTAATTAGAAAATGATCAGTGTGATATAGGTTCTTAGGTCGTCTTGAAGACAGACGAGGCGGGAAGGAAGCAAGTGGGTATTATGATATTTTGTTTCATTTATGAGGAACCACAATGTATAGATAAAGGGAAATATTTAATAACACCATGTAGTGGCCATTTTGGAGCATCAAAGGACAGAGTAAAATGGAAGCAAGTTTTTGGACAACATATAGTAATTAGGCTGATAGTATGTATCTTGCCACTTTGGTTGAGAATTCCCTACTAGACGTTTTATGAGATCTCTGAAGCCTTAAAGCATTAGACTCCGTAAGATCCATAAATCGAAGCTTACCCAAAATAATTTGAGATTCTGAAAAGTCGAAGAAAAATATTTACTTTCGGAAATATTTTCAAATAACCATCAACTACGAAATTTTTATGTATAAAAGTAACTGCAAAATTCTCCACGTGCTTCAACTTTTTACTGGTTATACTGCAAGCAGCGTAATAATCCGTTAACGAAGCACTCCTGTGTAGGCAGGGCGTTTTGATGGGCGTGATTTATTGAGCTTACTGGGGATGTTGGAGGGTCGAGAGGGCCGGGTATCGGGTTGCCGCCACTGTAATTAATCCCGTCGGGAACGGCAATCATTACAATTAGACGACACTAGGCTACGCCTAGGATACCAGACCAGACAAACTATCCATTAGGTACATTTCCCAATAAAGATTTAGCATTGAACTGTGGCTCTCTGTGGCTATAGATGTGCCAGTACTCTTCGGCAAATCTCCCAATATACCAAATTAATTTATTCCTGTGAGCTATATCCCTTGGAAGCTCAGTTTAAGCTTAGAAGGGGGGGGGGTAAGAAATACAATGCAGGATTTCCTGCGTATTTTTCTTTTTCATTCTTTTTTTTTGCGGGGCGAGCATCAATAATTCCTATTGAATGTGCCTCATCTTCTTTAGTCTACTACCAAATTAATCAGAAAGTTCTAACAAATAATCTTATTTGATAATGAATAGTGGAGAGATTCTTCAGAAAGGATAAAAAATCCTTCTTGGCAACCAGAATCTGCAACATCACGGATGACCATATTAGGGGCATGCAAGTCAAAATCAAGATGCACTATGCCCATAAAAGTATAATACAGGAAACCGCATGGCGCGCCTTTAGAAAGCTACCTAGTTTGCAAATTTCGAAAAAGCTTGCTTGCTTGGATTGTAGGTAAACATTACACAGTTTTTAGACCGTGGGAACCATGCTGAACTGGTCACTTCAGTCTCTGGCGTATTTTGATCGGTCAGCATAATGTTGTATTGCATTGCCGCTGACGGAGACATGCTAAATAGTAAATAGTACAACATGTAAAATGCACGTTTTTCCACAAACACGCAAAAATGTGGTACTTTATTATACCGGACGCGATCAAATGACTAAAGGACAAACTTCTGGAGTCTAAGATAGCCCATAGCTTGACAGTTCCAGAGCTGGCCAATACGACCTCTCCTTGGTCCCTAGGGTACCAAGATTGTGGAACAATATACCTCACGAGATTTTTGCCAGTTCTAGTAACCTTAGGCGGTTTAAAAATCGAATTAACAGAGTTTCTTTATGCTCCTCATAGCAACTGCGGTGCGCTGTATTTAGGCATCTGCTTTCGCGGCCGCTTCGGTATAGAAAAATTATAATCGCTATATTACACATCACGAAAAATCATGTCATGCATTTCCGCTGGTTTGTCTGTCTGTCTTTCACCTGACGTAGGTCGTCTGTCCCTCTTCAACTCTAAAGGCACCCTCAGATTTTGAAGAAATTTTGATGATCATTTCAAGGATGAAAAATTATAGATGCTTTTGTTTGTTCTTTGTTGTGGGATATGAATTTTCGCAGTTAT